GTTTGTTGTCCTCTTCTCTCTCTCTGCCTACGGTTTACCGGGCAGTTCTGTTTGTGACGATATATAAATATTATATATATATGTGTGTGTGTGTGTGTGTGTGTGTGTGTGTGTGTGTGTGTGTGTGTGTGTGAGATAGAGAGAGAGAACCTGCGGTTCTTGAGCAAGGATCAGAGATCCGGCGGCAATTTGAGAGCAGCCTTCAAGAAGCGCCTTCGGCCCTGCGTTTGGCTCGCCAGAGGCAATATGTGTACGTATAAGGCATGAGAGAGAGAGAGAGAGAGAGAGAGAGAGAGAGAGAGAGAGAGAGAGAGAGAGAGAGAGAGAGAGAGAGAGAGAGAGAGCAACGCAGCCTGTGTTTTACATATGATTTTCTTTGTTAACAGGAGAATCATACTGATCATGTAAAACAAAGACCCTTAATACAGAGAGAGAGAGAGAGAGAGAGAGAGAGAGAGAGAGAGAGAGAGAGAGAGAGAGAGAACCTGCAATTCTTGAGCAAGGACGAGATATGTGTGTGTACGAGGTATGAGAGAGAGGGGGGGGAGGAAGGACGTGTCATGCACACGAAGCATATGCATGTGTACGTGAGATGACATTTATAGGAAAGGCAAAATGTGTATGTGTGTGTGTGTGTGTGTGTGAGTGAGAAAGAAAAAGAGGGAGAAGGAAAGGGAGGGAGAGAGCAGGCATTTCAAGCAAGGGTGAGATATACTTGTGTCTGCCCACGGGAAAGATATGGGGAGAGAGAGAGAGAGAGAGAGAGAGAGAGAGAGAGAGAGAGAGAGAGAGGACCTGGGATTTGGTTTCTCGTGAACCGGCTGTGATTCGCATATGTTTGTTACGATGAAATCCATTGTGTTCAAACCACCACTACCTCCAAGCCTCTTTTTCCCAAAGCGGAAAAGAACTCTGCTCGCCAAGTTTTGCCGAAGCGCCGGAACGACACTTTTTTTCTCCTTGTGGCTGGCTCTGCCAGTCTAGAAGCCCCGAGCCTTCCAAGTACCTGGAATGCTACATCTTTGAATCTCGATGTGCCTGGGAAAGAAAGTGGTGCCTTTGTCCTACGGGACATCCGTTAAAATTGGAACGATACAGAGAAGATTAGCACGGCCCCTGCGCATTTAAAAAAAAGAAAAGAACACCAGTTCACACGAGCCTGAGTTGACAAAGCTACCTTCCAAGGCTACCTTCTTCCCCCAAATCCAACGTACAGTCATTATACCTGTATTTGGGGTATCTTTGAGCCTACATACATGTATAATGTCCGTACGTTATATCCGGGGGAAGAAGGTAGTGAGCCTGAGACTGCACCCTTTTGACGTGGCCCGCTGCGTTCACTTCCAGCCCAGGCCCGAATCGAAAAACTCTTTATGGCCGAAACCTGTAAAAGCCCTTTTCTGCTTTTGGTGAACTGGCGGTTCAAAGTCGTTTTTTGTGAGAGCATTGTCCACACCGTCCCCACTGCAGCTGGCAGGCTACCGTCTTCTCCCGAATAGATCGCCCGGCCATTATAGCTGTATTTGGTGCAACTCTTGCTCCAGGTACGGCGCGTTCTATTCGGGTGAAGATCGCCCGGCCATTATAGCTGTATTTGGTGCAACTCTCGCTCCAGGTACGGCGCGTTCTATTCGGGTGAAAACGGCAGTGTGCTTGTTATTTGGAACCATTTGCATCCGGAAACTCATGCTGTGGTTTACGTAGTACTCAAAACTGTCGTTCTCATTTGGGCCAGGAGGAGTCAAAAAGTGTATGCTCATTGGGAAGCCCTGTGTTCGGGTCACTTCCATCGACAGACTATACTGAGACTATACTGAGACTATACTGAGACTATACTGAGACTATGCTGTATTTCAAACAAGTACTTTTAGTTCTGAGTGAGGCCCACAGGAGTCGTGAAGCATATGCTCGTTTGGGATTCCCTTGGGTTCATGTCACTGTTCTTTTCTTCCTTCATCTGAATTATTTTGAGGGCATCTGGATTGGAACTAACAGTCCATGGGTGTACCAACTGAGCTTTCATGTTTTGGTTCTGTTTTGTAGATTGTTTTGACTTTCATGTATGGTGGCGTGGTTGAAGTGCCTTCGCATCTTCAGCTAGAGGCAAGTATCTGTTTGCCGGAGAGACGGAAGTAGTGATAACTTTGTCGCTCATTTCCTTGACCCCCCCTTCCCTTCCCCCCTCTGCCCCTACCCTTTACACCCTCCTCGCCATTCCCTTGTCCCCAGCCCCACCTTCCCTCCTCTCCATCTTCCCTTACTCTTCCCTCTTGCTGTTTCCTTTTCAAAGGAATAGCTTCTAACCTTATTCTGTCATTCTTCCCTGATTGTATCCATCCGGATTTGAACTCATGACCTGTTCATTAACATTTCAAAGTGACATGTGTGTACCATTCATTCACATGGGCTGGCTACCCTTGCAGTATTTTGACTCTTTCTGAAAATTTGCGAGGAGTGGCTAGTGCCACAAGGGTTAGGCTGACCCTCCTCGTCTTCTTTTCTCCCGCACTCTCTTTGTACATCCATGCTTGCTGGGGATAAGTAACCGGACTGCTGCCCCCCGGAATAACAGGGGCCTGTGTGTAGTGGAAAAAAAGAAAGAATAAAGAAATGGAGCGGTACAGAGGAGGCTAGGATGATCCCGGCAGAAGGATGACGCACAGCGATTGAGGAATGGTGGAAATGAAAAGAACGAATCGGACTGCGTCCAGAACTGAGGGCACATGGGATCTTCAATGAGTGTGGCTAGGTGTCCCAAAGGACTGCGTCCAGAACTGAGGGCACATGGGATCTTCAATGAGTGTGGCCATAACTGAGGCCAGATGCACAGCAGAACTGACGCCAGATGGGATCTTCATTGAATGTGGCCGTAACCGAGGCCAGAGGAATGGTGGAAATGAAAATACCGAATCGACCAAGATCTGGTATGCTCTGATTGTAGGAGGAATGGTCGTTCTCTTTCTGGGCATGTTCATCTGGGGCGATTGAGAATGCATCTGGCCTCAGTTATGGCCACATTCAGTGAAGATCATTATAATG